CAAGGGACTGGCCAGGCCCAGGCCAGATGATCTGATAGGATGGAAAGGGGAAATTCTCAGCATTCCTTCTGCAGAAGATGCCTGCTGAGCTTGAGGCAGCCAGAAGGACTAACACATGGAGCTTCAGATGCGTCTTCAACCCTGACACAGCCCAGTGAAGAAAAGAACTGAGTCCCCTGTCGTAGTGGTTACCCAGGGACAACGAATCCAGGAAGCCTGGAACTGGGAATCCTTTACACAGGCCAAGGGAGGTTACGGGACCAAGCCCTGAAATTCTCTCTCAATGCATACAGACTCTCAGTTTTGGAAAAAATGTCTTCATATTCCCAGAAATGACCCAATGGAACAATCAGATTGCATTATTCTCCCCAGTCATCAATGCGCAGCACGGTTCCAGATGGACAGGGCCACAATCTTGTTTTTAACTCTATCTCCACTGCCATGCTAGCGCATGGCTGGGACACGGAAGGCCCCGTTTGCTCTGTTTGCTTTCTCACCGGCCACAGAGGAGGCTCGCTGGGGAATCATCAGTCTTGCAGAGCGAACTTGCCAAACCAGGCTCTGCTGTCAGCATCCACCAGGCACTGGAGGGTTGCCCGGCAATCTGGCTAGAATCCTCCTTCCCCACAGCCAGAGCAACGATCTACGGCTCAGGAGTCCCTGCCCCGCAGACCCTCCGAGGAGCCCGTGCACACTAATTAGCCAGCATCTTTGTATCATCTGAGACTCTTGGCGAACTCCAAGCTTTCCTCCAAGTCTCAGCTCATCAACTCCATGAAGCCCTCCATGAGCACCTTACCCGCTAGGCTGAAGCAATCACTCACCACTCCTTCCACATCCTCGTTACACACTCAGCCCTCTGCGTTATGAGGCCTACATCCAAGGATCTAGTCATGCAAGATCAAACATAGAGTTCTGTCGTACAAACAAATGAGGTGGATAGTACCTTAGAAATGACCAGCCAGGTTAAGCTCTGCTGTACACATATGGCTGCACACACACACACACACACACACACACACACACACACACACACACACTGATTCAAAGTCAAAAAGAGTGTAAATGTCACCTTTCTTCTCCTCCTTGCTGAACATGCCATTCATTCAAATCTGGAGGAATGCACTCGAGCGTCGTCGTCGCACACCACAACGCTCACCATTTTTGACAGATTTCCACCACATTCATGAGTGCGTCTCCCAACCACTCCATGCCACACAACAGCAACCGCTGTGAGTTACCTCACGTGGTGGGAACTCAGCCCACCCCACACCCACTGCAGCAGAGTGCTTTCTAGCCGCAGGTCTCGGGGGATGTGTGTGGAGAGTAAAGCTGGACATCCACAAGACCCCAAGAGAGTTCAGCCTGCAGCAACTAGAGCAGCAAATCTCTTCGGTTCATTCAAAGACACCTCCACTAGTGAATACCATTGGTGTGTGTGTGTGTGTGTGTGTGTGTGTGTGTGTGTGTGTACCACACTTGTGGAGGCCAGAGGACAACCTTGGGTGTCATGCCTCAGACACTGTCCACTCTTTTTGAGACGGGGTGTTCCATTGACTGGGAGCTCCGCCAGCAGTCTAGACCGGCCAGCGAGTGAGTTCCAGGTATCCACATGGCAACACCTTCCGGTGCTGGGATGATAGGCACATGCTACCACACCCAGCTTTTTTAAATTAATTAATTTATTTATTTATTTTGCCTGGGTTATGGAAAATTAAACTCAGGTCCTTCTCCTTGCAAAGCAAGCACTTTGCTGCCTGAGCTGTTGGCCCGGCTCTCCGTTATTGTGTTTTTAATTCGAGACACTAACCCTAAACAAGAACCACCTGTGCAGCCCTGAGTACACTGTGTGGATCCTGTCCTATGCCCTCAGGCTCCCCCCTGCTCTTAACCACCAAGGTTGCATTCCTCCTCACCCACCACACCTACCCGCCACTCCTAGAAGTGCCCTGGGCCTCTTATTCCCAGAGCTGCTGGGAGGGTATCATTGGTTTATCCAAAACTTTGAAGTAAGGAAGAAAATAAAGTAGGTTTTGAACTCATTGCAAAACGACTAGAGAATAAAACTGATGTTTTGCCACATGGAAAAACGCACCCAGAAATGAAGTAATAAGGGAATAGCCACGAGCCTTAGGGGCTGTCCATAAACCAAACCTAGGATGGTTTTGAGAAATCTCCTTATAAAGCCATATTAGACTTGCCACTGGTGAGTACTCTGGAGCCCAGCTGTGTGTGGTGTGCAGCTGAAGCCGCCCCATGAAATCCTGGGTTATGAGAAGGTCAGAGCATTTTCTATAACCAGCCAGTTCTACAATTAGTCCTGGGTGTGTTGGGAGGTGACCCCTGGCTGGAAGGACCCATGCCTGGGGAAACCAGGACCCTTCCCCAAAGGGGAGCCTCAGCTTTTCTCAGCCTGCTGGAATTTCATTAGCTTGTTCACACTGTACAGATGGGAATTAAATAATTAATTAGGGAACCGTTCACTCCAGAGCCCAAGCAAGGGGGGATTATGCAAATCACCCGAGTTTGTAGCAAGGGGCTGAATATTTTATAGTGTATTTAATTTGCAAATATTACCCACTGAGAAGGCTTAGGCAGGAAACTATCATCATAATAATTATTATTACTCATGCAAAACTACTTGAGTTGCCATCAAACCTCCTTCCTTTCGACTGCTTTCAAATGCTTCCCCTAAGAAACATAATTTTTTTTTTAACTGAAAAAAAGTAAAGTACAAAGGCATATTAAGAATGAAGTGCACCTGCCTGGATAACAGGAAAATTAATGTGCCCTAGACCTTCCACTCCACCCAGGAAAGTGTCTTAACACTCAAACGTTTCCCGTCCCTATAATATTCCCTCACAGTCTCTGGGCACTGAGCGAGGTGGTGTAGCTGGAAAAGTACAGTGCACCTCTTCTCGTTATCTAATTAATGCAGTAAGTCACTGCTGATTCTGCGAGCTCCCCCGCACACACACACTTCCGACACATTCTTCTCCCGGGCTCAGGTAGGTTCTCAGCCCCCTTCAAGAACCCTAACTGCTACAGCTTTATGAATAAGAAGCGGCGGAGAGTCACACACTCAGGGGGTTCTCGCCAACTCCACATCCTCTACCACCACAGACTGACAACTCAGTCATCCAGAACATTGGCAAAACGTGCCATAAAGGACCAGACGGTAAATATTTTAGGCTTCCTGGGCCATACAGTCTCTGGCACAACATCTCAATTCTGCCATTATGGCACAAAAGCAGCCCCTGCTAATATGTCAACAGGTGAGTATGTCTGCCTTCCAAAGAAAAGCTTTATTTACAAAAACAGGCGGGGGGCCAGATATGGCTGCTATCCAAACCTCTTGTCAGTTAACCCTGTGTGTGTGTGTGTGTGTATGTGTGTGTGCGTGTGTTAGATTCCCTGCAATTTCATTTTTTTTTCTTTTTAAGTTACTCTATAATGCTAAACCTAAGGTATGGAGACTTAAAAGCTTAGACTATCTCTGCTTCCCATCTTGAAGCAGCAGTGCTCGGATTACAAATGTGCCACCACATCTGGCTTTTTTATGTGGTCTGGGGATGATACCTAGGACATCAGGAAGCAAACACTTTCATTCCTTGAGCCCGGATGCATGGTCCTGAAAGGTCAAGCAAAGGCTTCTCGACAGACCCACATCTCCAGCTTTCTCTCTTGAAACTTTTAATAAATGCTTGTACGAGAGCCCTGTGTTTTGTACTCAGTCCCACAAAGAATGTTGCCAGGAGGATTGGTGGTGACATAAAAAGAAAGGTTATCACTGCTGGGGAAGTGTCGCTGGCTTCTCCTTGCTCCAGGACGCAGCTAAAGCAGCCTACACAGAGGTCTGTCCCACAGTACAGCAAGGGATCATGAAAATGTCAAACATGCCGAAGTTGAGAGACCCTCAGCTAAGCAAAGTGAAATTGTCAGTAACCCCGCCACCGTGGGTCTCAACTACAGTAATTTCATGTGGCGCATCCCAAATGGCCATGTTAACAAAACATGATAACCCAGAAAAACAATCCTCACCCAATCTAAGCATTTCTGATATATTGTTGCTCAATAAATAATAAAACTCAATGAAACAAAAACTCCCCTGAATCTACTCCTATTTCTATATTCATGAATTTATCTCCTGGTCATTTTTTTTCTTTTTAAAATATTCTTATTACATTTATTAATTTGTATATACATGTGTATGGTACGTGTTCATGTTTGCATACCATACATACATATAGATGACATGACAATTTTGGGTAGTCAATTCTCTCCCTTTACCATGTGTGGGGCCTGGGGATCGAACTCGGTTCATCAGGCTTGGTGGCAAGCGCCTTCATCTACTAAGCCATCTTGCTGTTGTTTGTTTGGGTTTTTGTTTTGTTTTGTTTTTTTAATAAGAGCCAGAAACATGTTCAATGAAAGATAATTCCCCACTCACTCCAGTCCCTCTCTGTAGTCTCAGAGCAACCAGCAATTAGAAAATTAATCACATTTTCATTGGTGTTGTACAAATACTTTAGGAGGAATCCTAAGCACTCTCTTCTTTTCTTTTTTCAAGACAGCCTTGGCTGTCCCAGACTTGCTTTGTAGACCAGGCTGGCCTCGAATTCATAGAGACCCACCTGCCTCTGCCTCTGCCTCTGCCTCTGCCTCTGCCTCTGCCTCTGCCTCTGCCTCTGCCTCTGAGTGCTAGGATTACAGGCACGTGTCACTGAGCCCAGTTTCTCCTGTTTTCTTTAGATTATCCTTTCTACGCCCGCACAAACTACTCAGAAAGATCCCTGGTACCTAGCCTAGCTCTGCCTAGTGTCATATTTTTATAGGGCCTCCCTCCACTCCTTCCAAGCTCTCTACTTCAACAACCCTGGAACTAAACTGGAGAGAGTTCACTTCCCCTTTGTTGTGCGCAACAACCACCACGTCTACTTACCCCAGAGAGGGACCCCACAGTACACCACACTACAGATACCAGCAAAGTCCAATTTGGTAAAGAAATGAGTTTTACTGGGGTTAGTTACAGGAGTATGGGTGAGGGGTTACTTATAGGGGCAGAAATGACTCAAAGACAGCTGCATCACCAAGGCCCAACCCCAGCACTGGTGATGGCTCATAAAGCTGGGACTCCGAAGCACACTGCACAGTCTGCAGGTTGCTGTGTGTGCTTTCCAGGCGCCTCAGTTGGTCTGAGCCTCATCCAGGCAGCTCGGCTGGTCTCTGCTTCTTCAAGGGAGCTGGTCTTTTCGGCTTGCGTTGTCTCGCAGTCTTAATTATAACTCAGCTTCTTTAGGTCTGAGAGGAACTTTCTCTACCAGATGGCCTAGTGAATCTGATCAGTTTCAGGGACTTCCTAGAGCTAATGTTGGCTGTTTACCTTTCTGTTTAAGGAACTTCCCTGAAGGATAAAATTCTTTATCCAGGAGGAAACTGTTACACAACCCGTCTTCAGAAATTCCGCTGAAATGATAAGTCCTATTTGATTTTCTATTTCCTCTTTCTCTCTCTCAATGCTCCTTGTATAGGGATGAATTTTTGTTCTGCTGGCTCCCAGCATCTGTCAAAGTCATGTTAGAAACAACAAAATCATCAGCTCTTGCACTTGATTTAGATCCTACCACTTTAAACACGGGCTTGCCCAGTTGATGCTGGAGGCTCTAATTTCCTGGCATCTTATGAGGAGCTAAGGTCTGTTCTTGCTTCAGAGAGTGAGCAGAGGTGTATGTGGCCATGTGTGTGCCTTTCCACTGTCCACACTATCTGTAAACTACAAAGGAGTCGGGGGAGGAACAAGTAACAGAACAATATAAACAAGCAGGGAACACCTACACAGTAGACAGTCAATTAGGATCACTGGGTTACTCTCGAGTTTCAAGGGCAGGATCTCCACCTGAGGGAAGGAGAAACTCACAAGAAGATATGGCTGGGACCCCAGCTTGCAGCAGACAGCAGCTGGAGAACAGCAGGTCCCTGGGAGTCAACCCTTCTTTTTCTTGACCTTTTAACTCCATCATGGCTACCTTTTGTGTCCCGGGATGAAAGCTATGGGCTCCAGTTCCCTCTAACCCTCCAAGGATAGAAGAATGAGATTCCCCTGGTTGGCTGCCCTGGCTGTATGGGGTGGGTGACAGCTTGGTACTGGACAGATGCCTCTGTCACCTGACTGATGGGAATACCTAGTCTCAGAAACCTGAGCCCTGGCTCTTTCCGCCCAAAGCTCTGCCCTTACCCTGCAAGACAATGGGGGCTGGTGGAGAGCATGAGCTGGCAAGAGAGGAGCAGTATCACCAGTAATTTCAGGGACTGTTCTGCCCCCTGTACTTCCATAGTATGGTCCTTCAAGGAATGTTGGGGCCTCTCCTCTTCCAGCCAAATTGCTATCCAAGGTAGTGAATGTCCTTGAACCTCAAAGACATGGCAGGTGCAGGAAGGAAGGCTACCGGTCCTCAGTAATCAGACAGGGGTTGAATTAACACCTGAGTCAATTAAGAGTTGGACAATAAAAGTGAGAATGACATCCACTTTGTACAACACTGGAAGTGTGAATAGGGCAATCATGATTTCCCCATATTACAGTAAGGGACCCAATACTGTGTGATGAGGACTCCAGCTCATCCCTCTGACCCCAAAGGCTTTGCTCCCTCAAGCAGGGATTGGACGGCTCTGTTTCTGTGACATCCCCAGTACCTGTCCTGGAGAGATGACTGGCATCTGATTAAAAAAAAAAAAAAAATTAAAGAAGTGAGCCCAGGCCTGGCTGTACACACCTGTAATCCTAGCATTTCAGGAAGCTCAGGTAGGGAGATATCACAAGTTTAAAGCCTCGAGGTGTTACTGGGTGAATTCAAGGCCAGCCTTGTGAGACCCTGCCTCAAACTACAAAGAAAATAAGGAAAAAAGGGGGAATATAAAAAGAAAGAAAAAGGACAGCGACAGAGAGAATGGATCTTACACAGAGGTGGATTGTTTCTTTACTTGTTCCTTGTACCACCTACAGCTGGGAAACACTCAGTATCATCCGTGTGTGTTTCTAAAAGGCAGACTAGTTTCCTACTGTCCTTAAGGGAAGAATGCATACTAGAAATATAGACACAATCCCAGAACTGTTCTCTGACATGCAGTGTGTCTTCTGACCTTCATGTGACCTTAAGTCCACATTCTTGGTATTTGTTCGGGATCTCGTTGGATTCTTTTGGCAACCCTTCAAGAAAAGAGGATGTCCACCTCACAGGTGACAAGTGAGAGCTCAGAGAAGTGGCATGACTCGCCTGTGGTCAGTCTGTAGCCATAAGGCTGGAGCCAAGACTTATCATCAGAGCTCTCTGGCCTGGTGGGGCATATTCTGCCCTCATCTTTTCCCTTCCTGCTCTTCTTCTCTTCCCCTCCATCTCCAAAGCAGTCACAGGTGTCCATGCCCATCCCACCCACAGGGGCAAGTAGGAACATCCCACAAATTGAAAAGGCTTAAAACCTAAGCTGACTTGACAATTAGTGCAGTGGAGAAAGCAGGGAAAGAAGGTTGTAGTGTTTGGGAACATTCTGCCAATCTTCCCATCGTATAGCCTCTCGGGTGGCTAACCTCTGGAGTCCCCACAAAGGAGCTCTGTGGAAGCAAGCCATGGGAATGTCTTTGAGGTTCATGGACACTCACTACCTTGCAGCTCACAAAGCTCCTACCAGATATTTTCAGGAAACCACAAGATGAGTCCATCATGTTCCCATGGCATTACGTGCCATGTCTGGTCTCCTTCCCAGGGTTTATCTCAGTAACTTTCCACTGAGGGGATGAACACTTAAATATATACTCCTCCCTCACAGGTCTCCAGCTGAGTTCTTGAAATACTGTCTACTTGGAGTTTTCCAGAGAAGCAGGAGAAACAGGAACTCTCCATTATCCATGAGTCCTGTGCCTACAGATTTAACCAGCAGCACATTAGATACATTCAGGTAGCATCGTCAGAACATGCATGTACTTCTCTTGCCATCCTCCCCCCCCCCCAGCAATGCAGGATAAAGAACATCCACACTGCATCAGAAATAAAGCCATCTCAAAAAGATTTTCAAGTCTATGCAAACGCCGCACTACTTAATATGAGACATGTCATAACTAGAGCATCCTCAGCTATTGCTAACCTTTGTCCGTGAAGAATGAGGGATATGTACACATTCTTGTACATAAGAATTTATTTTAAGACACTGACTCATAAAATTGTGGGGCTGGAAAGTTCAAACTGTGTGAGGCTGGGCAGTCTGCTGACTTAGGAAGAAGACAGAACACTTTGGGAAACTCCAGTCTTTTTTTTTTTTTTTTTTTTAAGTCTTTTAGTTGATTAAGATCAACCAAATTGTAAAGGGCTCTATTGTTCTCTAAAGCAACTAGTCGGCATTGCCAATCACCCTGAAGCCTTCACAACAGCATCCACATTAGTGTCTGACCCAAGTGGCCACCATAGCCAGGCCAAACTGATGTGTTTAAAACAGATTCATCACAGGCTGTGGAGAGATGGCTCACCAGTTAAGAGTACTGGCTGCTCCCGAGGTCCTAAGTTCAAGTCCCAGCAACCATGTGATGGCTCACAACCATCTGTAATGGAATCTTATTCCCTATTCTTGTGTGCATGAAAACAGAGCACTCATATACAGGAAATAAATAAATAAACCTTTTTAAAAATTTATTACAAATGCATACATCCCTAGAAAACCCAGAGAGTTATAGCAGTACTTCAGATACTGCTAAGAAGGAGAGGAAGAGGTCATAGGCCGCTGACTCCCAACAGTACGATGACTGTGAACTTACTAGACTGGTCGGGCTGTTGCTATTTGCATTCTGGGTGCTTGCAGAAAATATTTAAAGAATCAGGGAATCGAGCAAAATTCCAGACACTGTCAAGAGAACAATTAGTGAGCTTTGTTGAAGGTTCACTCTAGGTAATAAAAATGCTATTTTATCTCAACCAAATCACACAGCTTGAGTACTATGAACGGCCTTGATTTGAAAGCCCTTGTTTTACACAAAGGGAACCCACGACCACAGAGATAAATTAACATACTGACAGCTACATTAAGCTATATGCCTCAGCCTTTCTTTCCAACAGGTCTCAAACTCCTTATTTCAACCTTATAGAGTACTTACCATATGTAAGGCTTGTTGGAGATACTGCCAGGCATTGTGTCAACACCTGAAAGTCACTTATGCCTCTCGATGATACTGTGAGGTATGCATTGTCAGCCTTATTTTATGGAAGAAGACATGGAAAGTGTAAGTAATCTTGGAGTCACTGAGTATAAGACAAAACCACTGGAACACAAATGCCCACTCCCTGGCCCCTGACACAGCAGGCTAACTCTGGGGGAAGATGAAAGCATGAACCAACAGTTCTTGTAGGTTTGTGTTTTAATGACTGGGAGTAGTGATAGCACAGAGGAGTCTCAGAGCATGCCCAAGAGTGACATAGCAAGACGATGAACACAGAGTAGGACATCAGTAGATTCAGAGTCTGGAGAACCTGAGGCTAATAAAACCAAGGATTTTGGGGATTTGAAATATTTGCTTAGAATAAGAAAAAACTCGTGTACTTTAAAGAGTTTACCACAAATGCTTTGCCTTGCAGAAGAACCATCTAATCTTTTTGTTAATTAGCTGCCTGGCAACCTCTAAGGTGCCTGAATCTCCACACATGTGCTGCATGCTCTTCTCTTGCCTTTCTATAACAAAATAACATCTTCTACACACACACACACACACACACAGAGAGAGAGAGAGAGAGAGAGACAGTAATTCAGGATAATTCAGCCCTTCCTCTGATGGGGTAAATGGAAATTTTATTTTTATCCTTCACTGATTAGGAAAAAAAAATTCTATTTTCCAACTAATTTCCAATGCGGCTGTGCAAATGTTCAAGGCAGTTGTCAAAACTGAGAATTCTTCACAGGTCCATAAGAAGTATAAATTTCAGGAAACTTCTGGTTTCCCTATGCAGTGACCAGTCTTTAAACTAACAAAGCACATTGGTCAATTTGCTGTCGATGTCTTCATAACTGTATGTATTAGAAATGTAGTCATTGTATCCCGGAAGTGATGGCACACACCTTTAATACCTGCACTTGGGAGGCAGAGGCAGGTGGATCTCTGAGTTTGAGGCCAGCCTGGTCTACAGAGCAAGTTCCAGGACAGCCAGAGCTACAAAGAGAAACCCTGTCTCAAAAACAAACAAACAAACAAACAACAAAAAGACACGTAGTCATGTGACTAATATCACAACTTGGGGGCAAATCAGCAAGAAACTGAAATCTCGTCCCAAAATATCCACATGCTTCACTCTCCCTAGTTAACTGAGCTATCAAAATACCCAAGGGGTCACTCATCACCTCTGTCACAAGTAAAATGCCTTTCACTAAATGACTTTCTTATAATGTAGCTTTAATTTCTGTCTTACAGGGTTTTATTTTGTTTTGTTTTTTGCTTCTTCCCCCCCCCAAACACACACACACACAGGGTTTTGCTCTGTAACCCTGTCTGCCTGGACCTTTTTACAGAGACCAGGCTGGCCTCAAACTCACGGTGATGCTCCTACCTCAGCCTCCTAGGCTGCTGGGATTACAATCATCCACCACTACAGCAGGCCTATTACAGTTTTTATTGTCAAATCATTTCACTGATTTCTGTTTAATTCATTCGTCGTCCACTCAGTTTGCTTCAGTTTACTCAGTGTTATTTTTTCTTAAGGGACAGAGTCTTGCTATGCTGCCTGTGTTGGCTTCTCATTCCTGAGTTCCAGGGAGACTCCACCTCAGCCTCATTCTTTAATAAACAAATTTAACAAACAAAAAATAGCTTCCCTTTCATCTCCATCCAAATTGGAGTCTGTAACTTCTCACTTCTCTTTTTCAAATATTCTAAACCATTTTCAAATTCCAAAAATATGAATATTCAAGCTTTTATCAACGTTTTCAAAATATCTTTTGCTTCTCATTTATGCTCAGGCTTTCTTCCAAGTCTTTGAAAACATCTTTTCCAATTCTTGACATGTCTTCCTATGTCGTAAGGCTTGAACAATTTCCTTATAGGCAGACCCCCTTACAACACGCTCACTAAAGAAAGATCCAGTCTTGGCAAAACTGAAAAGAAATCATGATATAGAGGCAAAATATGAACACAGCTAAGAGGAAGACAAAGGGAGAAAATGTTCAAGGTAGCCTTCAATCGCAGTCTCATATCTTACTTTTATCCAGTTACAATACTTCAGCCAGAACCAGAGTGTTTTTCTAAGACACCTTCTCAAACCCCTTCCCAGGCCCCACAGCTGAACCAGGAAAAAACCTGAGTGTCACAGGAGTGCCAGTGAGCAGACAGTACCACAGCAAGGACAGCTCATGGGCATGAGGAGAGTTTAGCTTCTGAGTTACAAGGGCCCCAGAAAGAATTTTGGTTTCGAGGTGACATTCTCTGTTTTGTTCTGCTGGTCTTTTCCCACACACACCATGAAGAAAGGAGAATGGAAACTTGGCACTTGTGGCTACAAAGTTTCAATTGGGGGAGATGCAAAAGAATTGCCACAAATTCAAGGCCAGTGTGTTCTGTACAGTCTGAAGCCAACCATTGCTACACCGGGAAACCTTGTCCCCCACTCCAAAAAAATACACTTCATGCCACAGAACTAGAGCTTAAAAATGATTGTGGTGAGCCAGGCATGGCGGCACATGCCTTTATTCCCAGCATTCAAGGAGGCAGAGAGAGGTGGATTGCTGTGAGTTTGAGATCACAAATAGAGTCCAGGACAGCCATAGCTACTCAGAGAAACCCTGTCTCAAAAAACCAAAAAGAAGGAAAGGAAGGAAGGAAGGAAGGAAGGAGGGAGGGAGGGAGGGAGGGAGGGAGGGAGGGAGGGAAGGAAGGAAGGAAGGAAGGAAGGAAGGAAGGAAGGAAGGAAGGAAGGAAGGATTGTGATGGTAAATGTTATACTATATACATTTTGCCTTAATAAAAAAATCACTAATGAGGTTGGGGAGATAGCTTGATTGGTAAAATGCTTGTCTTGCAATCATGAGGACCTGAGTTTGGTGCATCAAAACCCAGGTAAAACTTAAAAACAAATATCACTAGGCATGGTAGCACATGCTTGTGATCCCAGAGTTAAGGAAGTGGAGACAGGTGAGTCCTTGGAGAACGCTAGTTAATGTAGACAATTTGGAGAGATCCAGGCCAATGAAAGAGCCTGACACAAAAAAACAAGATGAGCAACACCAACATTGTTCTCCAGCCTTTACATGCACGCACACACATGTACACACCCACACATGCACACATGTACCTACACACGTGAGCATGCACATACACACACACAGAGAATGATTAATTAGGTGTAAGTTTTAACTAACACATCAGTTGAGATCAGTGTAAATTCACATATTAAGAAATGATTGAGAAGTCTCCTGTACACTTCGTTTCACTGAGCAGCTTTGCAGAACCACAGTACAGTATCACAGCCAGGGCATCAACTACTCTACGTCTCCCCGTTGCCTTGTTCAGGTTACCTAGTGTGACTTACTGACCTGGCGTGTTAAGTCAATACAACTGCATCTTCTCTGTAGGTTCCCATAATCACCATCCCTCTCAAGGCACTCAGTAGCTCCAACTTATAAAGATACTTTCCCATTGTAACCATATCTACTCCTCTTCCAGCCTGGCCTCTCCCCATCCCAAAGCCCTGGAATCATTGCCATTATTTCACTAAATACATGCAATCAAATCATCATATGTACCTGTGTTGGGTCCTCTTTAAGATTTGCTTATTTACTTTCGTGTGTGTGTGTGTGTGTGTGTGTGTGTGTGTGTGTGTGTGTATTTCTGTGGTGTTTGTGTATGTTTTGGGGTTCATGTCTGTGTACATGTCTGAAAATCAGAAGTGAGCGTTAGGGTGGTCCTCCTATCCCTTTGGAGATGGAACTTGCACTTTTCTCAAGTATGTTGGAAACCAGCAAGTATCAGAGATCCTTCTGACTCTATTCCCCACTGGAGAGAAGGGCCTCAGGCACATATAGGACCTCTGGTTTGTTATATGGGTGATGGGATATGAACGCTGGTCCTCATGATGACACAGCAAGTGCTCTCAGTAGAGGAATCATCTCTGCGGCCCCTAGTTTATCTTTTTCTGCCCAATGTTATTTCCTGGAGACCTCTCCTCTTAGTTGAATATATCAGTATTTGGCTCCTTGTACTGAACAGTTGTATAACGTATAGACATGCCATAATTTGTATAACCATTCCTTTATGGGAAGACATCTGAGCCACCAAAAGATGGTTTTCAGTATTAAAAAAGGAAATTTCTCTGGACGTTATGTTCACAGGAGTTCATGTCAATAGAGCTTTTCTTCCTCTGGGGTTCATGCTGAAGGCTGCCATTATAGGCTTAAAGGTAGTTGTTTGTTTATTTTTAAAATGAACTGTCAAACCTAGAGGCTGTGAAGATGAGTCAGCGAGCAAAATGCCTGCTGAACAAACATAAAGACCTGAGTTCAAATTCCCACCACCTTAGCTAAACCAAGGTGCTGTGGGTCTGTAATCTGAGTACTGTGGAGACCAGGGCAGATGGATCCCTACAACTCCCTAGGCAGTCTAGCAGGAAGCAGAGCCCTAGTTTTACAGAGAGGTCCAGTTTCAAAAACTAAGGTGGAGACCCCAGGGCTCAGGGATCATCCTGAGTTGGGAATGATGTAGGAGCCAGGTGACAGAGAAGTCAGGGACAAAAACAGTGTCTTCTGGACAGGATGGGACTGCCGAACTCATAGCAGCTGCGTTTGCCTGTTCAAGATAAAGCCATTCAACATTCCAGCAAAGAGAGAGGAAGGGCTATGAGCCCCCACCCCTAGCTGAGGAACACTGACAGCTCATAGCTCCTCAGGGAGGGAGAGTCAATTTCCCTTAAGGGTGTGGCTTCTAGTAGGTCCACCATGCTTCAGTGAATAACCCCTATTCTGTGAAAATAATATGAGTAGGACAAATTGGACCGGGTAAGTTATGAAAAAGAAAAAGGGCATGAAGTTGGTCAGGGAGAAGGGATGAAGAGATGGGGAGTAGATTGGAAAGGAGTTAGAAGGAATGAATGTGATCAACATATATCCTATGCATGCACAAAATTCTCAAAGAATGCATAATATTATTTTATTTTTAAAAATAAGTAGAAATGGGCTAGAGAGATAGTTCAGTGGTTAAGAGCACTGTCTGCTCTTCCCAGGTTCAATTCCCAGCAACCACATGGCAGCTCACAACTGTCTGTAACTCCAGTTCCAAGGGATCTGACACCTTCACACTGATGCACATATGTTGGTCTTGGATGCCTAGGTCTGAGGGTCTGAGGCCTCTAGATAGAACCTGGTGGGCTAGAGAATAAAAAAACAGTGGCAGAAAGAGCTGAGCTTTCCAATTTATATCTTCAGCTCAAGAGCAGGTTTGAGAGCCCACGTCCAAATGGTTATGGGTTATAGAGATGGTTTACGGGCAAAACGAAGGATTTTGAGAGAGTCTTCTCTGAGTTAGAAACCTAGAATTTACTTTGGATCCCTCTGTCCTCCTTAGCAGCAGCTCTTATTCTCTCCGGAGTCAGAACATTCCGTCAGCTTTCCAGACATTTCTGGAACCCCCCCATCCTTCATCCAACTCTGTCCCTTCACTGTCATGCTCTGGCTCAGGCCCCCTGTGGCCTTTGTGTGTGGGGGGGCACTCCTTAAACCACCTCCTCATAGCAAGGGTTCAGAAGTTTCCACTGGCCTAGCATTGCTTCACAGTGCTCCATGACAAGGCCGTTGAACACCAGTAGTTGCTAGGGGAATGCAAAGCAAAACCGTAGTTCGGTGCCCACGCACTGTCAGAGTGACTGACAAAAACAAAGACCATACCAAATGCAGGCTTTCATAAGAAGGTGGTGGGAATGTAAAATGGCACAGCAGCTCTGGAAGACAGCTTACACTTCTCTTCCCTTCTTCCCCTCCTCCTCCTCCTTCTCCTCCTCTTCTTCTATGCGTGTCTGTGTGCCTGTGTGTGCGTGCATGCTAACCTGTGAGTGTATGTTTGGTTTGGGGGCCACAGGTTGACTTCAGGGATCTTCCTATATTGCTACTGTCAACTGGGAGGGAGTTTCTATAGGCCCTTAGTGCTCACACTTCCCGTTCAGTTGTGAGGCTTTGCAAACCTCGTGATTTTAAAATCACATTTTCCAAGGCGTTCCCATCACCATGCACACACCAGCAGCACGCACCTGATTAGCCTCCAGGTAATGCAGCCTGCTAGGCCAGCCTCGAAGAGAGCAGCAGATACTCAAACCGGGGCCCTTGCTACAGACTTACAAGCAAGAAACACAAAGCATGCAGACTGGCCAGGCCTTTTAATATGCAAGGCAGCCCACAGGCAAGTCCAGCCAAAACCCAGGAAGTGCAGACTCCAGCCTTGCCGCTGGTATTTCATAAGTCTGCTGCTTCGGTATAATCTCAAAGAAATTGAGGTTATCCCTCAAGGTATGGAGGGAAGGTTAATGAGCAAAAGCCAGCTTGCCCGGTTTTATCACAGTCACTGATCCTGGAGTAGCACAGAATCGCCCGGTTTTATCAGATCCGAGATCTTGGTGAAAATCAGGGAGCTTTTCTCCCAGGAATTATGAAAGTGACCTTGTGTCTTCTAATAATACCTCAGAAGTCTTAGGCGCTGAGGATAGGAAAGAGTGATGACCTGAACTGCAGGGCTAGCTCTCCATGCGGTCAGCTGATTGCCTCTGTTCTTCAGATTTGGGCTCTCAGGCTCCGTGCTATGCATTTGTTTTTTTCCCAACAACCGGGAAAAGAGTGAAGCTTTCTCTTTTTTCTTTTTTTTTAAATTTATATTTATCTTTTTGCTTTATTTTTTAGTTTTCTAAAATTAAAAAAAAAAAAAATCCAATGTCCGGATCCTGCTTATTTAAAAACAAGCAAGCTAACTTCCGCTGTGTAAAGCAGGCCCTTAAGTAGTTTCCCTAGAGGATCTGCGTTCCCCAAAATGAAGAAACTGGGAGGTAGTGGGTGGGTGGGGAGAGAGTCATGTGACCCAAACTTCCTCCTGGCATTTTCCCCTGGGAATTCACTCAGGTCTCTAGATCACAGGCCCCTTCCATGTGTCAAAGCCAAGACCTGCAGTGGCTACACTGGCTGGCTTCTCCTCCACGCTTTGTTTCTGGAGGCCAGTGGTGTGGGTGCCACGTTTGCATGCTTGCAGACCGGAAGACCTTGGCCAATGCAATTTTTAAATCTTAGGGGTTTGCAAACAACTGCAGCTGTCCACAGTCACGCCAACCACAGCCCTCTTGAACTTGTCGGTCCTGCTCCCCGTTAGAGTGACGAGGTAGAGGGCCCCACTCTCACCACCAAGAAGAAAAGGATAGCAGGCTGGGTGTTGAAGACGTGAGTCTGAGGGTTCTACAAAAGTGATTTCCCTATAAGATAAAGCAGCCGTTATATTTCCAGTGACACGGACAGCCTTACCCTGAAAGGAGCATCTGTAATGTCTGGGAATTTCCCAGGAAAAAAACTGGAGAAATTAGATAGCCAAATATACATTTAGTAGCTTTTTACTTTGCCAAGATATTTTTAAAACAATGACTTTTAACTGTTGATTTATCATGATAATACTCTAAGTCCTGTACTCAGGAAAGAGGGGTAAAGGGAGGAAGGAAAGAAGGAGGGAAGAAGGGAAGAAGGAAGGAGGAGATACTCAGATAAAGAGCAGTGCTTAACTGATCACATCCAGCTTCCTGCTGAATCTCTTCTTCTCCTTGGTTTGGATACTGGTCCACTCCCTGGTTGTGCATGGGACTTTGTGAGCATCCTTTCTCAGAGGAAAGATTAGTAGTACCGTCTGGGGAGGAGAAGAGCAAAGAGATAAAATCACAATGAGGAAATGTTGACCGACAACTTAACTATCAAGAACTGACACCGAGGCTTCAGTTCAATATGACCTCAGAGTTCTGACCTTTCTGTTTAGTGCAAGGCATCAAAGCACTTGGGTTTCCTTGTGGAGCACAGTGAGAGTTATTTCTGTTATTCTTACTTGCAAATTGTTCACTACCGTATTGATGAAAGACAAAAAAGAAAAATCAGCAACTATTAATACAAAAACAACAACAACAGAATTGACCTAGGCCTAGAGTGGATTCCCATTTTCTGTTTAAGCCTGAAACTGGTGATCCGGTCTCAGGGTTAGAAGGGAGTGGGCCTAAAGCTTGACAGGTATCACCTGCTGCTGAGAGAAGCTCTGCTTACCTCCTACGCTAAGACCTGCACTGCTGAAAGTGTTGCTTAAAGGCTGGGGAGGCACCCAAAGATGTCTGCAGTACTTGGATGTTTTGTAAATACTCACCTGGTGGGTTGGCTTTGGTCAGCTCTGCAGAGACCTACAAAACAGATAAAGGGTGACCTCCCTTCCGATGAAGATGTCCAGGCCTCAGTTTTGTGGCTTTGGGCCATGTTGTTGGATATTAATATTTATTATTGAGTTATCTTTTAGTTAAACAGCGGTTATTCCTAAACCAGCTGCATATCAAATCACCACACCTACAGCACAATGCTGGGCAATAATTACTCCATCCTAAACCTCCAAGCCCGCATAGCTTCCTCCCATTCAGATTTCCCACGTTATACTTGCTTTTAGTCATATCTTAGGTCTGGTTCATCTCCCCTGATGGTTCCAAGTCCTCCCCTCCCCATCTCTCTTCCAGCCTCCTCCCATTCGCTTCTCTCTCCTCCCCTCTAGACCAGAATGTCCCACCCTATTTTCACTATTGCTCAGCATTGGCTAGTTGTTTTATTGACAATACAGAGAACAAATGGTGGCACGTTTACACAAACTTGAGACAGGTGATGCTTAGAATAAACATCACAGTGCAATGTCCGGATTGAAACCAAATAGTGGGGTAGAGAAATCACTATTTGAATGAACAAGGGTAAATTGTATACATTCCACAAGCACATTATACAAACAGGGCCATGTGAAAGTCTCCCCACTAAACATCTCATAAGGGGTTGAAAGCTCATAAGATACCAGCCTCTTAGTCATAGCTGAGTTCTTTGCACAGGTAACAGAACCATTTAACTTCTTTTCTTTCTTTCTTTCTTTTTAGATTTTATTAGCACCATGCTCTAACCAACTGAGCTAACCAGCCAGCCACTCTTTTTAGATTTTATAATTGCCTTATTTCACCTTTGGCTGGGCAGATATTTCCACCTATGCTATCTCATATCTTCCAGCCTCCATCCCATTCCATCTGCTTTAATCATTCCTATCTGGGCTTCCTCCCATCCATAATCCCAAATACTTGCTAATGTTATTCATCTGGTGGGCCTTTATCCATGCCACCCATGTTCTCCTTTCCTCACTAACCCATCGTGGCTTCCTCCTTCTTTCTCCACGTCCTCTCCCTAACTTCTTTGCTAGTAGTGGGGAAGAGGTCACTGCCTGGGAGCCTGCAGTGCACAGTGAGAAGCCACGCCCCTCATTCCTGCAACATGGACCTCTGAAGATGAAAGAGGACAACGTATAACCAAGAAAGCCAAAACCACATGGAGATAAAATGCTGAACCTGCCTTTAATTCCAGTACTTGGAAGGCGGAAGCAGGTTGATCGTTCGAGGCCAGCCTGGTCTACAGAGTGAGTTCCAGGATAGCCAAGACTACAAACAGAAACCCAGTCTCAAAATAAAATAAAATAAAAAGTGCTGATTTCAAAAGGGAGCCAAGATAGAGAACAACATAAGAAAAAGACAAAAGAAAGAAATACAATAAACAGAGGGGGAGAACTCTACGCACCTGGTCATACTTTTAAAATATGAATTGACAGAATGGGGTGGCATTTTTAGTACATCAATCTGACCAAAAAAAAAAAAAAAAAAAAATTATGAGTCCTTTTCTTAGGGTCTTGGGAAGCTGGCACTTTCATACCTCCTAGGAGAGGCTGAGAACAATTGCAGCTTTTCTGGAAGTCACAAGCCCACAAGCTGTAGCATCCTTTGACTCAATACTTCAAAGATGTATTGGAGACATGATGAAGAAAGCGCAAATATAGGTCTATTTTAGAGTGTGCACTAACTGCCCACTACCAGGAAGTTTAGTTGGGTATGATATATCCACACAATGGAGCAATGTAAGCATATTAAGTCAGTATTTGTGAAAGTGGAAAGAAGTTAAAAAATACATGGTTAAGATTTTAGAAGATTAAACACAGTGAGCATACAGCATTTTTAAATGTATACAGTTTATTCCAAAATTATTCCTGAGCAAAAGGAATAAATAAAAAGAGTGGTCTACTTTTACAAAGGTTTTACTTATTGGCATGTTGAGTTCTATGAAGAACTTATCAACTGGGGCTGGAGAGATGGCTGAGCAGTTAACAGCATTGGCTGCTCTGGCAGAGGACCTGGGTTCAGTTCCCAGAACCCACATGGCAGCTCACAACTCTTCAAGGGGATCTGACACTCTCTTGTGGTTTTGCAGACACAGATATGGTGCATATACACACATGTAGGGAAAACATGCATACACATAAAACAAAAAAACTTTTGAAAGAAAGGTGTGCTTCCCTTATTTAAAAAAAAAAAAGAAATTAGGTAACAATAAACAGGTAAATTAGTAAGAGAATTGTAAAATCATGGTAGGTGTTGTGTAGAGAATGAAAATAGGGTGGTGAGAAAGAAAGAGATTGTGAGCAGGGAGTGGCAGCACACACCTGTAATTCCAGCACTCAGTGAGGCAGAGGCAGGTGAATCTCTGTGAGTTCAAGGCCAGTGTGGTTTACAAAGTACAGGACAGGCAAAGCTATACAAAGAAACCCTGTGGTGGGGTGGGGATGCTGATTTTTGACAGTGAGATGCAAAAGGGTCCTGAGAGTCTTCTGTGCAGGGCCAGTAGCTAATGCGATGGCCCTGAGGCATGAGCCAAGTGCAAAATAGACATTTAGATGCAGCAATGGCATCAAGTAGCTATGGCAGAGTGGGAGAGGCAGAGTGGTAATTGTTGTCAGAGAAATCCTCACATGGTATGAGGGTATGGTAAGCAATAATGAGTTTTATTCCACGTGCTGTCAAAAGAGAGTTGAGATCTCAAACAGAAGACATGATCTCATAAACAATTCCAAACCTCATTTTGGCTGCTGTGTGAAAGCATAGGAACGGCTTTGAAAGCACAAGAATGGAGGCAGAGAGAACAGACAATGGGCTGCTGCAGTCTGGGCAAGGCTCAAAAGTGGCTTGTGAGGAGCTGAGATGGAGAGAAATGGATCCACTCAAGATTATATTCCAAGTTAGTACCAACAGCGTTTGCTAAGATACTAATGACTCCCGGGGTTCCCGCTCTTTCATTTCCCTCAAATGTCTCCAGCTCTAATTCCAGGTCTTCCCCCAAGTTCATCTAGATGCCCTGTCTTTAGTTTCTCTAACATGGTTTGGCTCTCAGACAGAAATTCTGGTCCTTCATGCTAACTCATTCTTGTTTGCATGTGTTCCAACTTGGAATAATGATATCAAGAAGCTGTAGTATTCAAAATCCTCCCAGCAGCTTCTGAAGGAGGGCATAGCAGTTGAAGCAAACGAGGGCCTAAGAGAGAATATATCTTTTCCAGTATGAGAGACAGAGCACAGTTTCAAACTCAGGTCCTCTGGGTCCAGAGCCAGTACTTTTCCTTTGAACCATGTTACATCAATAAAATACAACCGTGAGCTGGGCATGGTGTGACACACCTTTAACCCCAGCACTCAGGAGGCAAAAGCAGGTGGATCTTTAGGAATTCAAGGCTTTATAGAGTGAGTTTATAGAGTGAGTTCCAAGACATCCAGGGTTATGTAGAGAAACCCTGACTCAAAAAACAAACAAAAAATGTACTCAGCTGCTAGTTGGCAACCAAATATCACTGGAGGTCAAGCACAATCTACGTCTCCTGTTCCACAGAAATAGACTGATGACTGCCCAGCAACATTAACTTTCCAGCTTCCCTTGCAGCTAGATGGGGACATGTGTGAAGCCATGATGATACAAACAGAGCCAGGCCTCCTCCACATGCTTTGTCCTGCTTATATCTGCAACCCAGGTGTGCTGCACTCCAGCTCCAACTATTTATATCACAATAGGGCTTTTGGGGAGGGAGGCTGAGCGAAACTGTGACTGGCAGGAATCAAAATGACCACACAGAGCAGAGCTTCACACCAAACAAACAAACAAAAATCACCCTGGAGTGCAACGAATAAACATTATTCTTGAATTATTATTGAGTTTCCTCTTAATAGCAGTCCAGGCTTGCCCTAACCAAATATCACATAAATAAAATAATTGAAGCCAGGAACAGTGACACAAACATGTAATCCCAGCACTGGAGAGTATGGAGAGTTCAAGGTTAGACTGAGCTACATAGCAAGTCCATTTGCACATACATACATACATGCATATTTAAGTACATATATAAATGCATGCACATACATACATACATGATTGAACACCTCAAATAGTACCTCCTAATAATGATAAATCCTTAAGACACCGTAAAACACTCTCTGCACCCCAACTCTATCCATAGCTAAATATGTCTGATCGGTAGTCTACATTCAATTCTTGGTGCTCCCCTAAGGGAACCTTAAAAACTAGTCTTCAAGGAGGATATATTTCTACTCAATAAATTCTACATTGAGATCACTCCCAAAGGATCCAAAGTTTAGCAGCCAAAAGAAGAGCCCAGGAAAACAGATATATCTCAGTCATTCTTGGGACACTCAACAGAATGCTTAATGTGGCCTGCCAGCTGGTCTCAAGGCCTTTAGACTGTCAAGGCCTGGCTTCTGTGGGTGCTATTGTGGGCCGGGAGGATATGTTCACTGACCACATCCCAGCTGGTCTGCAGCTGCGGCTGCCCAAACCTTCCAACTATTCTCATGTCTAAGTCAGTCAACTTCACAGGAAAGTCGACTTCCAAGGCGCTTTATTCTGCTGTCTAAAGTCATGAAGAAGGGGAAAAACAGACAAAGAAGAAACGTGGTGTTTGTTTTCTGTTCCTAGGACTGATAGTTGACTCATTT